TGGGTGTGGAAAAACGAGTATACGCCAAGTAGATGGAGGGAAGGAGTGGTTGTGAACTTGTCTAAGAAAGGAGAAAAGACTGACCCAGGAAACTACAGAGGGATCACACTGTTGAACACAGTAGTAAAAGTGTTCTGTAAGCTGCTGAACGATAGGATAGTGGGAGTATTGGAGAAGGAACATANCGATAGGATAGTGGGAGTATTGGAGAAGGAACATAGCATTAGTGAGGGCCAGGCAGGTTTCCGCAAGAAGAGGGGGTGCGTAGACCACGTGTTCACGGTAGGGAGAATCATCCAAGGTAGAAAAAGGGCGGGAAAGCCGACGTACTGCTTCTTCCTGGACGTGAAAAAGGCATACGACACCGTATGGAGAAATGGGTTGTGGAAAAAACTGTCCAAATACGGGATCGAGGGGAAAATGTAGAGAGTGCTGAAGAAGATGACAGAGTCTGTGTTGGCTGCTGCTGTGGTCCTCCTCGTCTCCTTCATAACATGTGTCGTGGTGGTCATGTGGCGGTGAAGTGTCCGCAGCGGGGGATGGTGACGCGGCCGCTTTCGCGCCGAACCGACCACCTGTTCTTGTTTGGCAGCTGCCACGCTTCTTGTTTCGTTTACCGGGGGGNTGGTGGTCATGTGGCGGTGAAGTGTCCGCAGCGGGGGATGGTGACGCGGCCGCTTTCGCGCCGAACCGACCACCTGTTCTTGTTTGGCAGCTGCAACGCTTCTTGTTTCGTTTACCGGGGGGCCGCCCAACCATGTATGGGCTTGGATGGCCCCTCAGTGGGGTCTATGTGACTGCTGTAGCGTGTGGTGTGTGGTGGATGTGGCGGCACCAAACTTTGATGGGCCATAACTCTTTCAGAAAAATTTTGTTCGCAAAAAAAAAAAAAGGTCCTGGGTGCAGGTCCAATTCGCCCGAATCCGTCGAGTTTTTCGAAATCTATCGGTTGGTTTCACCATTAAAACATAACTCTGGGACCAGCTGGAATGAGTCTTTTTGCCCATTTCTCCGTTGTATCTCAGCGAATACAAAGTTGAGTTGGGTCGCCGCGTAGCCCTCGGCGTGATACGCTCAAAACCGGTCTTAAAAAAAAAGTGGACATCACACACGCCCTACTAAAACATAACAAAATCTGGCAAAATCTCGACGGAATCGCGATTTTCTCGCCAACCAAAAAAAAAAAAATCTGCTCCGATCAAACGATCCGCCTGAAATAGAGCTTTTTTACGATATAAGGTATGTTATTAGGGGGTACGTCAGTCGCTCGCAATATATTCCCGAGTGATTCTAGGCAATCGTGGAAAAAATTAACCGGATGGACTATACAATAATCTTCATGCCCACAATAATCTTCTCAAGAGCGACGCACCTTCTGAGGGGTGCTGAGGCGGTCGATCGCGGTGTGCTTCGCCGCGTCCCCGTGGAAGGACTCGAGGCGTCCCTTCACACTGTCACGCCAGAACTGCTTGCATCTCGAACATCTCGGTACCACGCTCCCAGCGCTTCGGTATACACTCGCCACACCAGAACAGTCCTTCGACCACAACACGTCCCTCCCTTCGACGAGGCCGAGGACCCCAGACACGCAGGCGCTCCCCGTCATCACACCCCTGACACGAGCGTGTTTCCAGCGCTCCGGCGGCGCTAACCCGTCATCGCCACCGAGATTACGCTCTGCCGCGCGTACTACGCTGGGAAAAACAGCCGCATATCCTTCCGGCAATGCTTTGTCGTCCGCAACGTGCTGGTGGGAGATGCCAAGGCAAGCCTGGACAAAAGCCACTTTGCTGAGCGCCTGCCAGAACAAAGCAGACAAAACGACTTGGGCAACATGTTGGGCGGAGTACATCACCGTCGAAGATGACGTCCAGCGGAGACACAGTAAGCGTCGGAGTTTTCGCACCGAAGGAGCATCCCGAATTTTTTTTAGATATCGGAGCGGATAACGTCTTTCTTTACCTAGCGAGTTTGAAATACCAGAGGGGGGGAAAGCTACCGCGGGGGGTATGAACTACAGGATGTGGTCCACAACCAACAGAGTGGTGAATCCGCGATGCATGATGTCTACTCGCAACAGCTCCATCGGTCGATGGAGCCTTGCGATGCATGATATATTTTGCTTTTCTCATACAGGCAGTGCTGTGCGAAATTAAGATACTTCTGCTCTACATTTGGGGGGGAGTGGGGTCACCCTCCGAGGGAGGACGCTCTGGAAGATTGGTACCTCGGAGGGAGTGTAACATACTGCCTTTTTTTTTTTC